CCTCCAAGAGCACCCGCACCACGTCCGAGCAGGTGGTGCGGCGGGAGAGGCCGGACACCAGCTTCTCCTCCTGGCAGATCCATACCGATATCTTCTTCTCCGAGGGATCCATGGCGCAACCCGGGCGCAGGTGGGGTCCGGCCGGGCCCTGCTGGGGCGGCAGGACGGCGCGGGCTGCCCAGCAGCTCGGGGACAGGAGGGGAGCCCGTGACCCCGCCGGCGGCGGCACCCGCCCTTCTCCCCGGCTGCGCGCCCAAGGCAGGCGCCGGCGCTGGCTGGAGAGCGGCAGCGGCTGAGGCTGCGGCTGCGCTTGGCCCGGACGACGGGCGCTCCCGGGGCAGCGCGCCCGGGATCGGGCTCCCGCCGCTCTGGCTCTGCCCAAGGTGCCCGGGACCTCCGGGTTTTGCTCCTCCCCAAGTGGCTCCACCCCCTTCCGCCCCCAGCGCCCAGAGCTGCGGCTGGGAGCGCGGGAGGCGCAGTGCCCAGGCCCGCCTCTCGCAGCCTCGCCGCGCCCCGGGCGCCCCGTCCGCCCCTCGCTCGCGTCGCCGGCATCCTGAGTCCCTGCCCCTTCCGCCAGCTGGCTGCCCAGTCGCGCGACGGCTCCAGGGAAGGCGCGGGGACCCCTCCGCTGCAGGGCCTGGAGCCCGCGCCTCCGCAGGGATCGGCTCTGCGTCTCCAGCGGCCCGCTGGCTCACCTCCTTATGTCTGCAACTAGCGGGGTGCATCTTGACTTGACTTTTTCACCTTTCCTGGCGCCCCAGACCCGATTCCTGGTCCTCCAGAGCAGCGCCGTCTGGGGAGTGCACTTTGCACAGGCGGGAAACCAAGGCACCCAGGGACCTCGGATGCAGACGCCCAAATCAAGGTGCGCGACCACCTGTAAGCAGAAGGCCTTCCAGTCCTTCTCCACAGGAAGCAATACTTGCATATTTAAAGAGAACACTATTCACCAGTCTTCTCTTTAAGCAAGTGTAGGCACGGAATGGTCCGGGCTAGAGGCAGACAGAGGCGGCTGCTGGCTCTTCGCTGGGTCACGTCGGTGCGTCCCCACTGCGCCTTTGCTTCCCGCAGCTTTCTTGGTAGTGGGACTCCTTCTAGTGGGAGTTTGGGGCCCAGACCCAAGTTATAGGTTCTATTTGGTATCCACTTCCATAAGGGGAAACCGTGGAGGTTTCTGGCATTTTCTAGCATCCAGATATGATCCAGAGAAGACAGGAGCCAAGTTTCACAGCACAAGAGACCCAAGGCCACAATGCAAATGAACTTGTTTCATCCTTAGCTGCTGATGAAGATGGTTCCTTGTGTGCAAGGCTCGGCCTGAGCGTGTCCTTGTGTGTACAGGTCTGATAATAAGCTCACTCCCTTTCTTCAAGAGGTTGGTTGGCTCACATCGCCTCTTGGCTAAATCACTTTTGTTCATTCACTCAGTAAATATTTGTTACTTATTGAACACCTACTTTACCTATCGAGTATCTCCTGGTCCTGTGCTAGGAATTTAATGATGAACGAATCACCAGTTCTGGTTTGCAGGGAGCTCACCATCCAGTGGAGAGCACAGCCCAGTAAATATGTCTTCTGTGCTCTGATAAGAAAGAGCTGAGGTGCTGGGGGAACCTGGAGTCGCATCCAACCCCGGGGAAGGGGCAAGGAACCCCCCCAACCGCTCAGAAGCTGTCATAGGCAAGATCCAATGGACCGTTTGAGCCTGCAACAGGAAAGCGGATGGAGGGGCAGGTAACATCCCAAGCAGACGGAACTCTAGTGCAAAGTCGAGGAATCACAAGCATGGTGGTTACTGGGACTGCAAGAGTTTGAATGAGAGGAGTGTCTAAAAATGAGGTTGGATGACTGAACAGGTACTGGATAAGGAGGGCCTTTCATGGCATACTTATGTATTTGGATTTATCCAAAGGACAATGAGAACCCATGGAGTGCAGATCGGGGGTTAGGACAGCCACATAAAAATCTCAGCTCACCATCACCACTTACTAGCTCTGTGACCTTAGGAAAAGCGTTAATCTCTCGAACTTCAGTTTCCTCATCTGTAAAATGGTGATAATAAGACTGTTGTAAGGACCTAGTAAGTCTGCGATAGTTTTATTGGAGGGTTGGAAATCTGGAAAGTGTATTTGTTTTCTATTGCTGTGTATCAAGTTTCCACAAACTCAGTAATTTAAAACAATACCCATATATTACTTCGCTACTCTGTAAGTCAGAAGTCCAGCTTGGCATGGCTGCTAGGTGCCCTCCTCAGGGAGCCCCCGGCCAAAGGCAAGGTGTTGGCTGGTTTGCGTTCCTGTCTGAAGGTTCTGGGAGAAAATCCACTTCCAAACCCATTCAAGTTGTTTGCATGATTCAGTTCAGTTGTAGATGTGAGGTACCCGTTCTCTTCTTGGCTTTCATTCTAGGGTCTCCCTCAGCTCCTGGAGGCCTCTCTCAGGTCCTTTGAGGGAATTCCCGCCAAATCATTTTGAAGCCAGTTTTAAAGCATTTCACATCCATGCAGTTAGAAGAATCGCTTCAAATCTCTCTGCCTTCCTCTTCTGCCACCAGTTGGAGAAAACTCTCTGCTTTTAAAGTGCTTGATTAAGCAAACCTGCCTGGATAATTTCTCTATCATAGAGTCAACTGTTCAGTAACCTTAACTACATCCAAAAAAATCCCTTTTGCTGTATAATGTCATATAATCAGCAGAATAACATGAGGGAGATTATGGGGCAATCTTAGCATTCTTCTTACCGCAGGGCCTAACATGATCAGATTTTCATTTTCAAAAGATCACTCTATTTGCATTGGGGATGATGGGTAGGGAGTAGGGTATGAGAGGCGAAAAGTTCCTTTAGAAGACTGTCACGGGAAGGGAAGGGAGATGGGATTAATGGTAGTAAATCTCTGTCTGGGGATGGGGAGACACGTCTTGGGTGCCTGAATGAAGCATATTTGTATACCTAACCCTTAACTGTACCCCACAATATCATAATAAAAAATATTGATTATAAAACAAAAGAAGACTGTCACATTCATTCAAGAAAGAGATGGTGGCCTATACTGAGAACAGTGGTGGTGAAAAGACTGGACAAAATCAAGAGCTGTCAAGGAGGTGGGAGAGACAGGACTTGGTGATGGATTGAAGGGGAATTTCCTTCTCCCTAGAATAGTTGTCAGAGGCCTCTTATAATCTGGCCCATCCCACTTCTCCAACTTCTCCCTCCACGTTTGACTGTCACTTCCTTCTTTCCCTCTCACATGTGATTATTGGAGCTTTGTAATCAGCTGCCATACCTACTGGATTTTAAGCTTCACAGGGGTAGGAATCATACCTGTTTTGCTCACTTTTGAATCCTTTACATTTAACACAAGTCTAGACACATTTTAGCTTTACTTAGTATCCACTGAATAAATAAATGAATCAATGAAGAAATCCTGTATTCCAGCAAGTCAACACCTCACTCATCTGAAACAGCTCCTACATCTTGATGCATCCACACTTTTATACTAATGCTTTTCCCACTAATTAGGGTCCCTCTTGAAGAACGCCTACTCATCCTCCAGTTCAAGTCAAAGATGACCTGTTCCAGAAGTCCTTTCTTTCCACTCCCAAGAATGGCTGGTTCCTTGTTCTTCTTCTGTCTCTATTAATGCAGAGATTACATTGTGCATCAATGCATTTGTTATGACAGTTTACCCTATAAGACGAAGCTGTTCAAGAGAAGTAACTGACTGTCTTATTTACAGTTTAGTCCTTGATGCCTGGAGTGCCTGACACATGGCAGGTACTCCATCTTCCCCTATGCTCTGAGGAATACTAAGGTGAATAATGTCTAAGATATTATGTTACCCTCAAGGTAGCTTCTTTCCAGAGGCAGACCAATACATGGAATCCCTGTTGTAGTAAAGATATCTATGGCATTCCTGCTGGACTAATTAAAGGCTAGAATTACTGATAGGTCCTGGGAAGGGTGAAGAAGGTGGGCTTCAATAAATGGAAAGGAGGGGTTGAGAACATTCTCGGTGGAAGAAACTGCATGAGTTAAAATGTTAAGGTTTGAGCACAGTTGTGTACCAGTGTTTCAGAGTGTGGGTCCTGGACTCTCCCTTCCTCAATTTTAATACCAACTATAAGCTTTCTTATTTTCAATCTTCTCATCAGGAAAAAAAAAATGAATGATAATAGAACCCTACTTATAGAGTTGCCATTACATGAAATGAAATAATTTATGATATAGAAAAGATCTAGCACAGCATCTGGCATGTAACAAATACTCAATAAAATGCAACTAGCATCATCAAGAAGTTGTATTGAGTACCTACTCTGTGCTACGTCCTGGAGTGGGTGTTAAGGATGGCTCAGCTCAGTGAACCAGACAAACATGGTTGCTGACCTTACAGAGATCACAATCAGGACTAGTTTTGTTTAGAAATTGAGTTGTTAGATTAGGCTAAGCTGTAGTAACAAACAGGGCCAAATGTGTATAGTGGCTCAAACATAACAAAGGGTTGTTTTTCACTCACATAATAGTCAAAAGTAGATGTCCTGGTTGAAAAGGGGCCTTACTCCAAACAAGGATACAGGGACTCTGGTTCCTTCCATCCTGTGGCTCCAAAATCCCCTAGAAGAGACAGTGTGTGGAGGGGGCACAATCTCTTCTTCCAGGCTTTGGCTGAATATGAAGCACATCTCTTCTGCTCATGTCCCTTGGATAGGACACAGTCCCACGGCCACCGATAATGGCAAAGAAAGCTAGGAACTATAGTGAGTGTCTCAGAAGAGGAAATGGGGCTTCAGAAACAGCTAGCTGCTTGCCATAAAGATCATTATTTAAAAATGAGACATGAGGCAGAGAGAAGTTCCAAAAGTCTAGGAATTGCAAAGCAGTGACCACAAGTCAAATACTGCTGCCTTAGAGAGAGCATACCTCTTTCCAGTTAGCCATGAGCCCAACACTCTCTGTTTCACATTTGATCCAATTCTCAGCACCTGCCACTTGCCTGACCCCTGTAGTTGTTTGAGTTGTGACCCTTGCTTCCACATGCCCTCCCAGGGTTATCCCATTCGCCCCCAGGGATTTAATACTATCGATATGCCATGGCTCCCAAGTCATGTCCCTTCCAGAGTTCTCTCTGGATCTCCAAATATGCATCTCTAACAGCTGGCTGCATAGCTCCACCTGGGTATCCCCCAAACATCCTGAACCTGTGTCAGAAAAGATAAAGCTGAACCTATCATTTTCCCCCCAAACCTGTTCTACCTCCCAAAATGTCTATTTTGGAGGACAGTTCCAACATTCTCTAAGAATGATCAGAAACCTGAGGTTCACCCTCATTCATTCACCTACTTTCCTCATGATATACTGCAGTCCTAAGGCTGCGGGTTTTGTCTGCCTTTTCTCCTATTTAATCTCCAGTGCTTAGGACATCAACTAGCACACAGTTGGCACTCCATAAGTATTTATGGAGAGAATGAATTAATTGCCTAGCTTAGGCTTTCATTATTTTTTATCTGGATCCTGCATATTCCTTCAAACCCGTTTCCTTGCTTGAGGTCCTGCCTTTCTCCCACACACTCTACTGACATATGTGTGACGATTCTCCATTATCATAAGAATCAAGTCCAAGTTCTCAATAGGGCCTACATGTCCCCTGAGGATCTGCTGTCTGCTTGACTCCCAGCCTGTACACCCCAGCCACACCTTCACTCACATAGGTCCCCTGATCCTCTGGCTAA